AATACACCTCCCATATACACATACCACTCTTTCATATTTCTCCTTTTTATTACTCTAATCTCCAGTAACTTAATAGGTCAATTTTTTTAGTAAGGAGAGGAACAGCACAAAATTAAATTCCTTTTCCTCTACTTCAAATAGCAAAATCCCCCATTTATGAGAAATCAAAGACTATTTTTTAAAATTTTCATGGACTATTCAAAAAGTTATTTTTAGTATGTAATCTCCCTTCAACACCATGGCCCAAAATGAAAGGGAGTTTTACCTAAATATTAAAATTCTATTTGAATCCTTTTAAATGTCCATGGCAACATTTTCTCCTCTGAGTGACTTTAGTTGGCTCTACACTTCTAGAAAGGTGGCTGAAAATTGCTTTAGGATCTTTCTTCCATCCTCTCTTCAACCACTACAAGCTAACTTCACAAGTTCCAAATGACTTCCCATTTTCCCCTAACCCATCTACTCCATACCTAAAGAAGAAATAGTGAACAGCAAATTGTAGGAGTACACTTAAACAAACTGAAGGACAGTGAATGGTAACAAAAACATGGAAACAGAGATGGGACCCTCAGCAAAAGAGAAGGTAAACCAGTTTCCATTTGTCTTTATTTGAAATGTTCAAAGTATTTCTTTCTAAGTTTACAAAAACAAAGATCATTGGCAAGTTCTAGGCACCTAAAATTGGCAGGAAAGAACTGTTTAAGAAGAATAATAAAACAGCAAACCCCGGAAATATTCAAGGTCTATTGAAAGCAATAGATTGGACCAGACAATCTCTCTGGCATACTTTCAGTTCTAAGAGCAACATCATCCTGCTCCTCCTATTCCCATTCTCTCCCCTTCCAACCCTTTTTCTTCATTATATCTAAACCATACATCTCTAGTTGAAACTGTATCACTACTTCTAAACCAATTTCAGACCATAACTTGGGATGGCAGCAGCAAGAAATTCAGCAGACAGAACTTGGCACTCCCAGATGGACTTACACTTCAGCAGAAGCTGAGGTCAGACAGGTGAATGATATATACAACTGAACTTCATGTGCTATTTCCTAGCAACTTTGGACCAAACTCTCCAGCTTGGCATTCATATTTTTATGGGATCTCTACATTCTGGCTGTATCCCAACGCTTACTGTTCTCTATTAAGAACCCCTATAACCAATTATTTCCTAAGAACTATTGAAAGCATCTCTCCAAATCTTACCCTTCTTCAAAATAGAGCTCAAATTCACTTCAAATTACTTCCTTCTGGAAACTTTCTAAGGATTCTCTCTTCCCTTGTACTCTCACAGCACTTGGTCTTTGTGTCACTCAATCCAGAACCTCATCACACTTCACATTAGCTCTTCTAAATTCTCACAGCACTTGTAACTATATCCTTCATTTAACACTTTTTTACTAGGTCACATACATACTGGTTATTTTTATGGCTTACAGATAGTAAGTAGGTGTGCCCAGTTAGTCAACTCTTCATAACACAATACTCTATGTTTCTTTATATAGAGCTTTTTATATACCATCATAATTACTTGTTTATACAATCCCCTTCATGCAATAAAGTTTATAAGCTTCCTTAGGGGCCCTGTGCTGCTTCTCAGTATTGCCAAAGCTCACATACTGCTCACAAGAGTATATAGTAAACAAATCCTTTTCCAATTAATGAATGAAAAACTACATTAGCTGAAAATAAGAGGATATGATCTAGACTAGAGATGGCAAATCAGTAGTGCACAGACTGAACCCAGCCAACACACTTATATTTGGCCTGCAAAGTATTAAAGAAAACTGGAATAAGTTAGCAACACTTATAAAATTGGGAAATAGCATACAAAATTCAGATTTCTGGCTTTTCTTGGGGGGAGAAATTGTAAGCTCTGTCATATGTCCTAAAAGGCAACAAGTAACTAGAGCACAACTACCAGCAGACACAGACATGTGCTGTTTACATTAGACAAGCATTCTAGGTATGCCCTTTTTTTTTTTAATTTACTCATTTATGTCACCTCACCTGTCTAGCCCCTTGCAGGTATGTTTTTTCTTTTGCCCTTTTTCCAGTTGGCATTATCCTGTTAATTTTTCTGCTCATGTGTTATCTTTGACACAGACCCATGACAACCAACCAATGACACAGACCCATGAATCCCTGGTGGACTTTGTAAGTCATTTTGGGCATTTCTACCCCCTTACCACCTTTTTCTTCCAATGGTAGACAGGTTTATCAAAATCTCCTAGCCTTTCTTCATCCCAAATCTTGATGAAAGGAGTCTATCAAACAGTAGTGCCTACTCGTACAGCTAGAAAACGTAGCTTAAATGGATCACTACTATTTGTTTAGAATGTTGTTTTTTGATTTATGAGTCAAATTTTATTACATATTTCCTCTACTGAAATATTTTGTTGATCCAAATATACTATTCACAATCGCTTCACTATACTATTAACAAACACTCCCTTTGTACTATTCATGTAACTCTTCTATAAATCTAGAACTCTTTCAAAATTAAAAGTTAAAAAAATCTAACAATGAGTTAGCCAGTTAAAAGAGTATGTGTAAATTAAATTCAATAAATGTTTATGTTTATTTATTGTTTGCAAAATTATAAGCTCTTTGTAACGGTTAAAACATGGGCTTTGAAATCTCCAAGTCTACCAAGTCTGGCACCAAATCTTGGCTCTTCTATTCTCTAGATGAGAAATTCTGGAAAGTCACTTCTCTAAGCCTCAGTTTTCTTTCCTTTAAAATTTGGGCAATTAACAGTACTTACTTCCTAAGACTGCTGTGTGGCTTAAGGGGACAATGATGTCATGAAGGTTCTTTAGTATTTAGTGCCTGGCACACAGATAATAGTAAAAGCAGCTATCATTTGAACACAGACACAAAAATTAACGAAGTAAGATTCTGAACAAACATCTCTACGTTTAATAGTAGTATCTATAAAGCATATGGAAACATGAGAGAGTAATTCTATAGGGAGAAGAAAGGTAACACATGAGCAGAAAAATTAACAGGATAATGCCAACTGGAAAAAGGGCAAAAGAAAAAAGTCCAAGAATAAGTTAGAGAAAAATGAAAGAAATCAAAGTGCTGATTTCCAGGAACAGCTAGAAGACTGACAGACAAAGAAGAAAGAGTACATGAGAGGGAAGTAGCAGAAAATAAAGCTAGGAAAAGAAGGTTGGGGCTAGGATTCAGGCTTTCATTCAAATTGCATTTACTGAGGCTAATTAATGGAAGCACTGTGTATGGCACGGAATAGAGGAAGAGATATAAAAAAATCCTTCCTTTAAGACACTTGGTTATCTGGCACGGTCCACAGCACAACACTGATGCACAACAAAACAGTAAATGTCTTCAATGAATCTAATAAAATGAAAAAGACAAAGGTGTTGGGACAGGAAGACAAGAAAGAGTACCATCTGATGGCACACCTAAAATGCTCTATAAACCCCTCTCCCACATGCATGCACACACAGACACACTCCACATAGATACAATTGGTAATTCCTACATAAGAATATGAACAGAACATGTGCAGACAAAAAAGAGAGTAAGTTGAATTATTAGTTGCAAAACATAAATTAGGTAGGCTAACTAATCTGATGGTGTATCAAAAAGATTAGATGAGGGACTAGGACTTCTTAGAGAAGTTTTGATTCTAATGCTAAGGCAGGAAAGGTACAAGATGAGCTGGTAACATCCTGTAGTGCCAGAAAATTAAAAAGTGCTAAGTGAAAAAGAGAATGAAGTCATGTCAAAGGGCACAGAAGTCAAACTGTAAGAGCTCCCAATGGTCAAAGCTATAACAATTTGAGCAACAAATAATAAGAGCAAAAAGAATAAAATATCCATGAGTGCATACTATTACAAACAATAGACTGTATAAATAAATAACAGAGGGGACAAATCTTTACAGAAGATCCCAATTACTAACTATGTAAGGAATGAAGGAGAGGAGAAAGTCACTACTAGAAAACAATAAGAACTGTTTTAATTATGATCTACTCATGAATCCTAAAATTAATGAGCCAAGTTGTTTAAGAAGGAACGGGATACTTGAGTGCCCTCAAAGCATATCTCCAAAACATTTTATAATTTACAAAGTGATCAATAGTAATTTTATAGTGGAGAAACCTAGCAGATATCACCTTAACCAAAGAATCATGGTAACATTGCTAGCAATAAGATACACTGACATCATTTGCCCTGCTAATGATATACAGAGAAAGGCACATATTCTCTGCATTATTCCTGTCAAAAATTTGCATTACCTCAATATGAGAAAACATCAGACATATCCAAACTGAGGAACATTCTACAAACTCTTCAAAAGAGTCAAGGTCATAAAATGTAAGAAAAGATTGAGAACTTTTACATACTGGAGGAGAACAAAGAGACATGACAACTAAATATAATATGGATTCTTGAACTGGATCCTGAAACATAAAGGACATTACTGGAAAAACTGATAAAATATGAGTAAAATCTATAATTTACTTAGTAGTTAGCAGTATTCTTTATTCAGAAGTATTGTACCAACATTCATTTCTTAGTTTTGATCACTGCACTATATAAGACATTAACAGAGAGGAAGTGGATCAAAGACATACAGGAACCCTTTTCATGTAACTCTTCTATAAATCTAAAATTCTTTCAAAATTTAAAGTTCAAAAAAATCTTACATGATGAAAACACTACTAGTTTCAATACTATGTTGTTTTTTCTTCCTTAGACTATCAACTTATCTGAACTGTAGGTATTGTTATCCAGTAAATGCTACATTATCTCTGCTTTTACTTTATGCTATATCAGTCTTAATAATCTACCAAAAATACTCATCTAATTAAAACACTTAATTTCCTTTTTTGACATCCTAGCAATGACTAGTAATCAGAATTTCATCTTCAATTACATGAGCCTCCGTAAAGCTTTATCTTCAACAGAAGACAATACTGTTTTTGCTTAAAGCATAAGAATAGTAATTTAAATGAAATCCTTACCTTCCAACCACTGCCAGCCTCTCTGTAATACGGGAAGTTATCACAAATCCACTGGTAAATCTCACTGAGAGTCATTTTCTTTTTGGGTGAGCTATTAATTGCAAATGTAATGAGGCTGGCATAACTGTACGGAGGTTTCCCATCTTTGTGCTGTTGGACTTCTTCCTGGTCCAGGGTTGTATTTGGGTCAAGGAGTGCATTCTTCTTGGAAATTCCTGTTCCATGTGCATTCTGTGTAGCATCAGATTTTTGGATGGCTGCTCTCATGGTAAGCTGTGGTAACCAGTCCATAGATGTTAGGCTGCTCTCCAGTTCAGATGTCATCCTGAAGGTAAATAGACTCCTTAGTCAATATCAAGGAAAGAACCCCTGCTTCTCAAAATATCCAATATTCACAAATCTAGGAGTTCCAAAGTGAGGAAAAGCCTGAGTTACATCTGGAGGAAAAAGATTGAGTATGTTAATGACCAAACCAAATATTTAAGGGGTCAACATTTCCAATCTTTTTTCTTAATTGTTTCCTCCCAAAACACAACAATTTGGTTTTAAAATGGTTAAGATACAGAACAATACATACACACAAAGTGACTCTGATAGCGACCTTCCTAAAAAAGATTATCACTTTAAATAGGGCAATAGGACCACAATATGAAGAGATTGGTCTGCAGTCCAGTTCTTGATACTCATCAACACTACAGGCCCCTTAAAATTTTAACTGTACATCTGCATTTCTTTTACACATATTTTAGGGGAGTCACACAAACAAAAGTAAAGTGGAAGCAAGAGGTCAAAACAAACAAAAATAAAGTGGAAGCAAGAGGTCAAAAAAGTAACTGAGAAATAGGCAGAGGAATTTGCATGAAGGAAAGAAGGTAGAGTTAAGCAGGTGGGAGGTAGGAGGAGTAAAGCAGGGTAGAAAAGAATAGCAAGGAGACAAGCTAGCTGGGAGAGCTGACTGAAAGAGGATGGCAAACTCAAGGACAATGACGAACAAGAAAAAAAGAAGATAGGCAGTACCAGGCAGTTTTTAAAAAAAAGCCAAGGAACAAGCTTAAGAAAACTAAAGATTTAGGAGTGTGGGATATTAGAGATTAAATCACAGACAGCAAGAAAAGAAGCATCAAAAGCTTGAGGACAAGCTTACATGAAATCCAGTAATCTGGATTCTATAATGTATTTCTCTCCAAGGCTGAAGAATTCAGACCATTACCACCCAGAAAAAGAAAAAAGAAAAAAATCTGCTAGGTTAACACAAATTCTGGAGAAGGGAGGAAACTGCTCTAAGAATTGAAGATAAAAATACAAAAATAAAAGCTTGACACTTCACACTGGAATTGCTAACTTTCAGCAGAAGGTACAAACATTTCTATCCTGAGATCAAAGAACCAGGAATAATGACCCTGACAATAAAGTAGAGAATTATTAAAAGCTTCCAAGTGATATAAAAATACAGGAAAGAAAGAAACAAATTAAAAAACTTACGGTACCTGAGTAAAAACAAAAAACTGTGGCCAAAAAAATCTCATATAGGCCCCTCATCCCAAATGGCTATGGACAAAAAGCAACCTGGAGTATTGCTTAGGATCTGAACTTCTGGGAGGTAATACGTAACTGATAAAGAACAGAGTCAAGCAGACCAGAGTTCAAGTACTGATTCTACCAGTTACTAACTGTGGGACTATTAAAATGTTAATCAAGTGCTCTCTTTCTGTAATTTGACACTCTCATTGACATAAATAGAGTAAGCTTTCAATAAATATTTATTGAATGAAAAAAAAATGTTGATCAGTATCTATAAACCCCAGCTTTCTCATCTGTAGAATGACACAGTAGTACCTAGAGTTAAAATATGAGCTTGATAATTAAATAATAACATATGCATAGAAGAAACATCCAATAACTGTTAAATAATATTACTCGTACCTTGGGAGGGTACTAAAGCACTATAAAGTAAATCAGATTAAGCAACAGCAATCACAAACCAAGAAGCAGCCATGGGGATTCCATCTGCATTGCTAGTAGAGTCCCATTACCTTGTTTTTCAGATATTTTGGTCCACAGTTTTACCTTTCTCATTTTCTCAAATGCCTGCATCTCTCCTGTATGCATTAGTCTGAAACCTGAACTTTAAATTCCTCTATACAACACCTTCAGAGACCTAAAAGACACCATTCTATTCTATAATCTCACACCGAAATGCTAGTTCCCAGCATGAGATAAATTACAGGAACTTGTGGAATAGGTAGACAAGGTAATTTCGAGATCATAGAATGTCAACAGGGTGGGAAAGTACCAGAGATTAGAGGTGAATCCCTTAAATCTGATGATGAAAAACTAAGGTCTCCTCAAGTCAGACTTGTCCAAATTTATACAGGTAGTTAACAGTAGAACTAAAACTAGAGCCCAGGTCTCCCGAAGTCTAATCCAGTAGTTTTTCTACCATATTTCCACCTGTAAAATAAGCTTAATAGTATCTACCTTACTGATGTAAAATAAAATACTCAGGCTGGCAAATAATAAGTATTCAATAAATGTCTACTGGTGGTAGTGGTGGTGATAACAGTCATTGCTGCTATTATTATTCACATTTCATTCTATAAACAGTGGCTATTATTATACCATACTGTCATCCTATTTGCTTCAATTAAGTTTCCACTGAGTAGCTTTATTTTGTTCAAATTCCCAGAGCAGTGAGTCACATGCATTTTCAAAATTTATGTAAAAAAAGCACATGCCAAAATGGAATATAATTGATACTGCAGATGTCCCCTACTGAGAACCATCTTTGACTTGTTCCCTTCTATTAGTGCCACTAATTGAGACTTTGAGTCTTAGAAATATAATGTAAACATGCAATAAGTAGGTACTTAATACATATTACAAACTTTTTAAAAAATGTATACACATGTACAGGGATATGCTAGAATAAGATTTTATGCTCACATACTCCCCTCAACACACACAGAGGAAGTATGACAATTCTTGTCTTCCAGGAAACTGTAGCCTAATTAGGAAGGTCAAACACAAGATAGAGCTGAAAAAAGGTATAAGGCTGAGCTCTGGGAATTGTAATGGTTCAGAAAACAGAGAGGATGACATGGACTACAGCATTAGGAGTACAGAAGGGAGACTTCAGCTTAGACTTGAAGAAAGTTAAGATCTAAATACGCTGGAAAGAAAACAGTCGAAGACATCATGAGTAAGAATTATTCCATTGCTATAATTACTTTCAACAGTTCTGTAAGAGCAAACTTGAAATATACTACAAAATATTTCTCTTTAAACTTAAAACTCTGAAAAAGTGGGGCATCTGTTTTACTTGCAATTTACTAAATTTTTATATATTCTTTGTAGTGAAGTAAAAAGTACCTCCATTATTGGTGCCTAGGCTGATTACTACAGTGGTTCCTCTCCACTAAGCACTAACATAAAAATGACCATTAGATATGGCCAGATCATCAGTAACTTTAGAAAGAAACATCTTAGTGGAATGGTGATGACAGAGGTCCACTTGTATAAGAGAACAGATGGTGGTAAATTTAAAAACAGCATGGGAGGCTCTGAGGAATCTGGTTATGGAAATCTGGTTAAGAAATGTCAGGCCCTGATTACCTCATCTCATTACCAAAGCTTCCTAGCTGCCCTTATAGACTGATTTCTCACCACTCCTCCCTGCTGGTTAGTCACCTCCAGAGTCCATGCATACACTCCAAGAGAAATCTGTCAGTACTATTTTCATGTCATTGTGTCCCAAAGCCTTGAATGCTTCCCTTCTATTATACTAAATCTAAACTCATTTTCAACTACCTTACCTTTATTAATCTCGTATTAATCCTCTAAAATCCTAGAGTAACTATAACCTCAGTTTGGCATTTACTATGTTGTTTCATGTGTACAACTGCATCATATGCCTAAGCTTTCTACCCTCACTCCCTCTTCCCCCACACCTCCTCACTGAGGATAATGAAATGCTCACTAGTACTTCAGGGGCTACCTAACACCATGCCAGGTACACATCATGAAAACTAACACAGCACTTGGATAAGGAGTAAGAGTCTTCCTTTCTGGAATGTCTTCTGCTTCTTACTCTGCCTAGCTGGCTTCTACTCTGTTTTCAAGAATCAAACCAAACATCTCCCCGTCTAGAAAACCTGATCAATCCACAATATCCATCCTCCATCTCCTAAACTTAACTAGATCCTGCTCCCACAGTAGAATTATAAATACTTCTACCACAGGACTTCTACAGAATTATAATTATCTCTATCACTCCCTCTCTCACAAGACCATGAGCTCCTTGGAGGAAGTAACTTTATTCTTTTCTGTATCCTCAATGCCTATGTAAAGCATCAATAAATGGTGGCTAAATGATTGAAACAGTTACTATCCAGGGGAGGTGTGGGTGTGCTCCTCCCCACACAAGTGAGACCATACATGTTTAGCTTTTAAAAGGAAGAGGTAAAAGACACCATGAAGTAAGGAAAATCACAGGATCAAAACCTTTTATGAACTGGAAAAAACTATGATTCAAAGCACAGACTGACAAACAGTACTATACAGAAACACAGACAGTTCTACCGGAATAGCTGAGAAAAATGGGAAGATGGAAGCAAAAATAAAAAGAATGTTACCTGTGAGAGAAAGCAAGGCATGGAGAACTTATATCTACAGTTCTTAAATCAATGATAACATCTGCTGCCTAAAAGAAGTTCCATTAGGAATTTTTCCTGCATAAAATGAAAAGGTAAAGAGTATCAAGATAGAACACTAAGTCGTGACATGAAGGAACTGATTTCTCACCACTCCTTTCATTAATCCCACTTTATGAAATACTACCACTGATTTGATCTGAAATATGCTTTTCAGCTACTTTGGCACGTTGTTTGGCCTCCCTCTGCAACTTCCCTAATTCCCAAGGAGTAAGTAGCCAAGGCCTACTCATAAAGTTTTTAAGTTTCAATGGTATCAGAAATGGGGGAAATGGGCAGAGCTATTTTTGGCCCCTATTGTTATCTTGGAGTAACAGGTAGACATCATGGAAACAAAAGGAATGAGAATAATAAGGGTAATGATATTGTGAACTAGATATTCCCAAATCCTCCCACTCCAATCCTGGCACTTAACATTTCATCTTAAAAGACTTGGCACCAAGTAAAAAACTGAGTAACTGAAAATTTACAAGAAATCCTTGTAATTATCACTGTAGTAACTCTGTTCATATATATCTCAGGAAATATATATGTTTTTTTAATTATATATATCTTTTATATAAGCCCTATTACACACCCAAGGCAACCAAAGCAAAGTCTACGGCAGATACAACTA